AATCCCCTCATGTCACTGTCGGCAAGAAAAGCAAAATAGTATATCTCCCAAAAATGTTGAACTACTCCTTTAGCAGTAAGTGACTCCATTTAGTTCTCTGTAACAGTGTGCTGTAAACCATACTTGAGGCTTTACTAGTGTCACGTATTATCTCTTGATTGACTACACATCTTTTTATGCCACAAGTCTCTTTTTCAGATCAAACGCCATATTTGATAGGATGAAACCTTCAAAGCTTGTCATTTCCTGTCGAGATGATGAAATGATTATGAAGCGCTGTGAAAGTGACATTTGGCAGATGGACTGTATCCATCTTTATCACTACAGAGTTCCTGCACGACTTCACTTTGATAAAACATGAAACACAGCCTATGCTCAGATTTCCAGTCTGTGACAAGTGTTTCAGCTTCAGCACTGATATATAGATATAAGTGAGTTTATTGTGAGTCTATTAAACACAAATTCATGCTAGTTTTGTGGTTTCTTTTTGTGACACGGGCAACACGACATTTTGTTGGCTAAAATCTGTTTCATGATCAAACTTATTGACTTAACTGCCATACTCAAGATTTAAGTAGATTAGGCGACATGATATATAGTGTAAAGGGCATCTCAGTTAATTTGATGTAGCATTGCCACTAAAGGTGAAGAAGGCAGCGATTTCTTCAACCCATTTCTTTTATGTGCTTCCCCTCCATCTTCCCTGGATTCCTCTCTCTCTCCCCTTCCGTCTTTCGTCTCTGGGAGTATGGGTGCATGTCAAGTGATTGTTGAATTGAAATATTGATGTGGAGTATCAAAGCGTGGCGTAGCACTCCTGTGTTTCCAGAACTAACCACGAAGCGCTTTGATCAGATACTCCTGTGATCTGACTTCTGAAGTTGTTAAGAGTGCTGGAAAACAAAATGCAAACAAACTTCAAGTGCTCTTGGTATTGATAAAAGTTTTCTTTGACAAGTGGAGATGCGTGCTGTCTGCCCAAGACTGGAGATTTTGGGGTTTTCGTACATGCTAATGGACAAGAGATGAGGGAATTATTGTAGATTTCTACGTCTCACACACCTAGCAATGTAAACTGTAGTACAGGGGTGGGAATCATCACGGAATCCTGCTGCGATATCAAGATGCTCCTGTAGTAACACAAAAACATTGCAATTCTGGGATTTGTTGCTTAATTTTTGTTAGATTCGGATTAAGCGTGTTAAAATGTACCAGTTTATTTAGCTTGCAAATAAAAAAAGCTAAAAAAAACATGAAACCTTAAATGGAATAATTTAAAGCAACTAGAAAAGCTACTATGCTTACAATCCAAAATGTATCAATTAATTATTGATTTATGTTCAAAGTTTTTTGGGGAGATTTTGTTTTTTTCCAAGAAAAAATAAATATGTTTTGAATAACTGACTGATTTTAATTGAGGTAGTCTTACAGGACTCATTTATAATTGCATTATACCTGTGTGATTAGTAGCAAAATAAGTTTATTTTATCCATCACCCTCTTAGAAACAAACAATGTTAACCAAATAATATTTGTTGAAAGATACTAGAAGTCATTTTTAGGTCAGTTGAGTTTTAGTTAAAATTTCTGAATGGGCTGACATGAAGCAAGGCGGGTGCAAGTGGGCTTTTACAGTTTTCCGTCTCCACAATGTTCACTGATGGAGGAGGACATATATCTGCACAGATGACGAGGCACAACTGAAAAAATGTGACTGAAGTGAAAAGTTTCAACATCGCGTCATGATCCATGTGATTTGCAAATTCTCCGATGCACCACCGAGCTAGACGCATAAGATGAGGTAAACCTTATCAATATGCCTGATTCTAAACAGCAACCCCTCTGCCACTCCCTCTCAAACACTCATAAACAGACCCGTACACTTCGAACTCAATAGGAAACAGGAAAGAGACTCCTGAATGAGGTATCAGATTGTAGCACTGTAAAGTCCAGCTGTTGGTGTTGCTCCTCATCCCAATGAAGCTAAGTGTCATGGTAATCACACCCCATCTTGTCCTGTCTTGGATTTGAATGGTTAAAGAGGGAAGCACTACAGTTAGCAGCAGTGTTTTACATGCTGTCTGTCTCGTCCATTAGGCCACATTTGTCACATGAGAGCCATTGAGTCAGCACCATGCTGTAAAATTGCCTTTTTGACATGGCCACCAGTACAAAAGCCGCTCTCCTCTGTGGCTGCCCTATTCGAGTGCAGATGGTCAAGACAGCTGGGACAATTCAGTGATCTGAGACTTTTAAACTGCCCCGCAGGCATGATAAAAACAGCTTGAGTAGCCACTTGCATATTCTACGTTCTGAGTTTAAGAGTAAGATTTTGTCTGCAACAAAAACAGCACCATTTGTCTTTTACAATGAGCAAAAGGACTAAAAACTCTCCAGGATCAAGAGATTTCAGGTCATTACACGATGACTAAAAGCCCTGTTGAGTTTTAACGTGTGTTCTGTTTTTCTTGGATGTATTTTCTGTTTAGAAATCGGTGCTGGAGAGCGTCTGCATCGCCTTGTTGGGATTTAGCCTGCGTTCGTTTTGAAGTTGAATCCGCTGGTATAGCCACCCAGTCGGAGCAGCCATGCAATGTATGACGGAGCGGACCTGATTACCAGCAATCTCACCAGCTGTTTAATGAACACAGGGACCTCTTTCTCTGGAATGAGTTTTCCCTTGAAAACTGTGGAAGCCGTATCCAGGTCTATTTAAATGAGGTAACATGGGGAAGGTAAGCACCACCACATGAGCATTGTTTTCACAGTTCAAAGTGAGGAGAGGGTACTTTGCACTTCAAAGCCACTCATCTGGGAGGCAGTACAGTGGGGGTGGGGTGGTGTGGGGGAGAGGGGACAGGAAATAAGAATCAGGGTAATTAACAACTTCTGCTCCGTAATAAACCAGAGACATAACAGTATACCTCTGCCTCCAAGACACACTCCTATTTCCAAGTCCTCCACTCTCTTTTCCTTTACTACTGCTTTCTTTCATCCTAAATGTTCACTTTAATTATTAATTAGACTATTTAGCTCAATGCTGTTGGAGTTACATCGCACATATTAATCCTACAAAAGCAATGCATTTTATATATTTCAACTTATTTTCACTGCAGTATGGGCCTGCATATGTTCAACCTTTCTGAAATGATTTTTGTTACATTTGTATATCAAGTCAGAAGCATTAGAACATTTGGACAATTATAATTTACCAAGAGGCATCTCTTGCTTTTGCTTAATCTAATGGGCTAATTATTTTAGTTGAACATCCTGCAGTTATTTGTATGGATAAATGTTATTGTCATGTTTTAATTCCAACACATTTACTCTGCTTTGCCCTCACCTAAAATAAACACAATCTGTGGGATCTATTAGTACGCTGCAGCTGAAGTCTGCACGTCATTGTGAGTCTGGAGAAATCTTTTGTTTCAAGCTGAGGTGTCTCTGTCAAGGACACAATGAAGTTGCACTCTGTCTGCTCTGCTTTCATACCAATAACTTCAGAAAGGTCTAAACCCAATGCTACAGTTTAGTGATTATCTTTACTGCCTTGATATGTTGTTTTTTTTTAAAGCTGTAAATTCTAACAATTACAACCAAGTGGAATACAGGAACTGTTTCATTTCTGTTCAAATTTTATTATAAAGTATTCGTTAATTTATTTCTAATTTTAGCTGGCTCCTGCTTGAGGTATGTTTGTTTAAGGATCACAGAGGAATCCAGAAAGTGGGAGCAGTAGATAAGTGAGGAACTAGGCATTTACATGAGAAACAGGTTCCCAGCCTGGATTTAAACTCTTAACATTGTAATGGTGAGCAGACTTACAGAATGAGATTAAGCCTCAATCTGCATTTAATGGAGCAGATCTGAAGCGGCCTCTACTTGAACTCTGAAATGTGAGAATGTCACACAGGGCAGCCTATTTGACATGTCACCCACTGGTGAGAACTCCGAGGCTTTGATTGAGATTTATCAATTAGCTTTGTGAGGGAAAATACTGTTACTGTCTTCATAGTGTGAGTGAGCCTCACGCCATGCCGGGACGGAGAGCTGCCTGCTGCAGCATTAAGAAACAAAGGATTTGTGTCATCTGGAGGAAACGAACAATCAAACAATGAAATAAATTCCCTCCAAACTACAGTCTAGAGTATTTATTCACCACTGTACAAAAAAGGTTTTATGCTCATCTACTAAAACATCACTTAAGAAGAATTATGCACATTAACTTTATAGCTTCACATTGTAAAATTTGACTTGAAGTGCATGTGTGATGGATTTTTAGCAGAAATTTCATTTAAAAAAAAATCAATCTCTCTGACCTAAAGTGTCCATACTTTGTTGCATTAAATCATGCAAAATGTATGACAACAAGGAAATCTACTTTTCTGTAAGTATAAATTCATTATTTGTTGACTTGATATCATATAGTTTGGCCACCTTTTGTAATTCAAAACTGCATCACTGATTTGCCAAAAATATAAAATCCCTGTATTTACTGTCTTCACTTGAAATCCCACAGCAGAGTTGAAGCAGTATGCAAATACCCCCAGAGTGAAAAATATTTTTGACTAAGCTGGCTATATTAATCTTAGATCTTTTAACAGACTAAGCATTTTGTTCTTGTGCAAAATGCGGCCCTAAATGTAGAAGTTGAAATTTGCTGAAACACTAATTGTGAACACTTTGAAATGTTTCTCAAATCATAAAGTTGTGTGGGTTTATTTGAAACTTAAAGAAGTCGGATGAAATGGCACGAGATGTCCAAAGAGGTAGATACTCTCAAATGTAGATATTACAGGAAACATCTTTTTTTTTTTCAGAACAATTGGAGGAGGAGTCAGCTCTTGGGGTCAGCATTTGGTTGAAATTGAGTGAAATTATGAGAAGCCCACCCCTTCACCTAACAACCATCCGAGACCCGAATGTTTCCTCCCACACGTCGCCTCTCTATTGACTCGCTCTCCTGCATCATATTGGAGACCCCGTTGAGAGGATCTTTTCTCTCTATAAAGAGAAGATGCAGCTCAGGCGCCTTTGAGATGATCGCAAGGATTTACTGCGCGCCACTCTGCTTCTAACTTCGGACGGTCATCCTCGGCTGCTTCAACACTAAATGATCTGGACCGCTACCACACTAGAAGTATTGACGTAGTGGACTGAGGGACATTTGAATGACGCGGGATTTCCCAGTGTACTCTGCCAAAGTGTCTCAGTCATCCGAGACCCGAATGTGAGCATCTCTTTTCTTCTGCGCTCCGAGCTGCAGTTGAGACTTTGTACGTCTTCGCCTCTCGGCGCAGTTCGTGTTGCAGGTGCGTGGAGGAGCGCGAGGACAGATGGCTGCGCTGGCGATACAAAGGACTGACAACTTTTTACACACCTTTTTACAGGTTTGTTGTATATTTATCTTTCTGACGCATTGCACGTGGAGTGTATTTATCTGCTTTTCTGGCAGTGAAAACTCCGCAACTTGTGCGTAATGAATGAATATGCTTTACGTGCTTAAAACTGTGTGAACATAATCATACTTGTTTAAGTCTTTTAAAAAAACATAACAGATAATAGAAAAAGAGGCAAGTTAGAATAAACAATATCAAGACAAAGGTACATTTTAAACTCTTTGGGTTACATATATTTTACATTATATTTTTATATAATGTCATTTTTTAAAATTATTATTAAAAGGAATGTAGATTTAAAACTTTTAGTTGTCCAATAAGTGACTTATGATGTATGTTTTGTGTATCACCACTCAGGACCGGACGCCCAGCTCGTCTCCAGAGGGAGCACCCAACGCCCTCTCCTTCCTGGCCACCACCTGTAGCCAGGCCTGGCAGGTTGGAGGCGCTATGGGCTCCGAAGGCTCCCAGTTCCCCTACGAAAGCACCGTCAGCTCCACATCAGGAATGTTCCAGCTCTGGAGCAACGACATTGCGCCCAGCACAGCCCTCAGCACACACCAGATGACCTTCACAGTGCCTAAGGTGCAGTTCCCGGGACACATGCAGCCTGGTCTGGGTCACCATCATCATCATCACCCCCATCATCACCACCACCATGAGCTGCCTCTCACCCCTCCAGCTGAACCTCCCTCTTACTCCTTCGAACTCTCCCCTGTCAAAGTGCTGTCTTCGCAGTCGCAGGCCACCGGCCCCTATTATCCTCAGCACAACAGTATGGGACAAAACTTCCCCAGCTTCATCCAGAACTCCTCAGCCAGGCACCACCTGGCTGGAGGCCATGTGGACGAAGGACAGCAGTGGTGGAGCCTACCCCAAACCAACGCCCCCACCACCAACCATCCCTTCTCCCTAGGCAGACAGCTGGTTTTGGGCCACCAGCCCCAGATAGCTGCTCTTCTCCAAGGCACCTCCAAGGGTCTGCTGAGCTCCACACGCCGCTGCCGCCGCTGCAAATGCCCCAACTGTCAGGCGAATGGTGGGGGGTTAGAGTTCGGAAAGAAGAGACTGCACATCTGCCACATTCCAGAGTGTGGCAAAGTGTACAAGAAGACCTCTCACCTCAAGGCACATCTGCGCTGGCATGCCGGGGAGAGGCCCTTCATCTGCAACTGGCTCTTTTGTGGTAAAAGCTTCACCCGTTCAGACGAGCTACAGCGGCACCTCCGCACACACACCGGAGAGAAGCGCTTTGGGTGCCAGCAATGCGGCAAGAGGTTCATGAGGAGTGACCACCTCTCCAAACACGTCAAGACCCACCAGACCAGGAAGAGCCGGTCTGGGCAGCCTTCACAGAGCACGGACCCTCTGCTCACCAATATTAAGAGAGAGTAATCTCTGCGATCCATCATTCAAAAATAATAATCAACAATGAACAGACTGTGTGACTTACACTTACTGCCATAGGTTTGCACTCAAGGGTGAGCATCAAGCTGCCCAGAAATCTCCTCTTCTCAAAGCCCTACTTTTGACTTCAAGTAGTACAATAAAAAATACATTTGAAGACCAGTTTTAATCCAAGTAATTGTGTGCTGGTTGAGGCACCTTTCAAGAATACTTGAAGCCCTTTTCAGTGATATTGTGAGAGTTTTGCTGAATTCCGTGTAATGCCACACAACCAGATTCCCCCTGAAACAAAACAAATGTTATGCCTTTAACAATTTAAGATTCAAATGAATTTTAAAGTCATACAATTTCAACTGATGTGAAAAATCAAAACATTTTCAGCATTCATTTTGTAAATATTTTGAGAAGGATGTAACAGAATTGAGAGAAATCCCGCAAGGTTTATCTTAATATGTTGTCCATATTATGTTCAAAATAAATGTATGCCTTAGTACATACAGCTAAGGGTTGCTGTTAATTAGATTTATTCCAAAACACCCTCATTTGTCAGCTTTAAGGATCTTTTTTGAAATGTAAGTCTTTGATCTACAGATTTATCTTGTCTAAGCAGTCATGTGAAGCACCGTTGCTCCAGATCAGCAAACATTTTAAATGTTTCAATTCTTTGTAAATTATGTACAAATATCATTAACAATTTTATTGAGGTTATGGCCGCATGTAAATTTGAATAAACATTGTCCTTGCTGAAACAATTTCCCTGCTTCTAATAATGTTATTTTCTTACATCTTGGCAACTGATTGTGAAGTAAATATCTAGGATCGACTGTGAGAGACAATGGTTTTAACCCTCTTAGCTCATTCAGTGTGAATGTCTAATGCCCCGGAGCTCCTTAAGATCCAACATTTTATTGAAATGATAATTTGATTGCTTTCAGAATACAAATGCTGCTCATTGTGTTGTTGGCGCGAAGGAAGACGCTCATAAAGAAGCCCTAACATGGAGGGCTGTTCAAAGATTTTTCACACCTCAAAGTAAATACTCAATCTATTGATGGGGCTGTTTGTCTCGCCTGCTGCAATCAAGTTCACAGTCATGTGGCTTTTAATTAGTGTTTTCTTTCTCTCAATGGGGAAGATTGAGTCAACAGATGCAACAGAGGGCACTGGAGAGGAATTCCCTGTGAATGGGACCCCTGTTGCTGAGACCCCCTCAGTGGTGACAGGAACTCCCTTTGATTTTGCACCCTTGTGAAAGTTTATACCCCTCCCCCCACCCCCTCCGTCCCCAGCCTCCATATATCACAGCCGTGTTACGATCGGCCCTGCTTTACTGCCCAGAATGGGGCTTTATTCAAAGGCCAGCCAACCAGATGTCTGCTCATCCAGGGGTTTCTTCTCTTTGTTTTTAATCCTGTTTGAACTTTCGGCGAGGGGGGATGCCACAGCAAGCAAAGGGCTTTGCCTTTGTCTTCTTCAGAGGCTCCCGAAAAGTGGAGTCTGAGGACTTCCATTGGGTCTACAGCAAAAAATAATGCTGAAGTTGCATTATTAATTAAATTCATAAGAAATGAGCACACTGTGATAATGTAAAAGGATGACAGCATTAGTCGTCATGAGGGGTTACATAGAACTTACAGTATTAAAAAAAAATCCTCTATACAGCAGAGATAAGTCTCTGTAGACATTAAATGTACATCTATTTTAATCAACAGATTAAGTAGAGAAAAACAAAACACTGCACAGTTTCAAAAAGACACTTTTTATTTGATATTATACAACAGTTTCTAGTCAGTCGTACATGGCATTAACCAACCCTCTCCTGGTTTTATGTCCTTGCTTTTGGTTCTCTGTAGTGGTATTATTTTGTATTAAAGAAACACTGTCTGATCAGTCGTTCCCATGAAAACACACCAGTTCACATCAACTGCAGATGGATTCTGTGAGATGGCTCCACTCACATCTCAGTTTATTTCGTGTAATTAATGGTGTTTCGGACAGATTATTGAGCAGCTTTAGCTTCATTGTGAGCACTGAAATATGAGGCCTATAGATCTTTGGTGCAGCTGTATGATCTAACTAAACTGAAAGTGAAAGCATGTGGGGACCTCTACTGACCACAGAGCAGAACTGACCTGATATTGACAGGACAGCCGTCTCCATCTACTCCTCTCTCCTCTTTTTGTCACTTAGATATTAAACATCAAGATAGTAACACAAATATCTATGATTGTTTTGTAAGTTGTGGCAAACTGAAATTAGTAAGAGCGTGAAACGTTTGAGTGGTGAGCTGCTTTTTTGGCACTGTTGTCTGAGGAAGAGGGAGCATGCAGATTCATCAGCATCACTCTGTTGATCAAGCAACATATCACCCTTCATTTTAACCAACTGAAACGGTAACACTGCTTGGCATATCTGGGCCGTTACTTCATCTTACAAGTGGAAATGTATGATTGCCTTTATGGTATGCACTGTACAGTATTTAGTCCATGAGGGCAAAAGCTAAAAGCTATTATAGAAATGGTGCACAGCCATGACATGACAACAGTGGACTAATAAAATGATTCGTATTATTTTAAACCAATGCACATTTAAGGACATGTGCCCCCAAACCACAAGCACTCTTCGGCCTGTAAAGAAAGTCAACCACCAAGGAGATGTTGCATGCAACACTTTGGGGTCAGCACAGCAGTCCCTTTGAACGCGCCTACTGTATCTCGCAACTCCTCTGGAGTTGCCCAAAGAGCTGAAGTATTCAGAAGTGACGTCATACTTGCAGAGAACCTCCAGGGGGCTCCCTCACACCTTTTTTTTGTCCAGATCAAACAAGGGCCGGTCAAACAGAATGAGAGAGCGCACAGGGGCTCCCAACACTGTGGCAAGAAAGAAAGTTCTTCACTTTCATTTGAAATTCAAGTGAGCAAAGTCCTCGCGGCTTTTTCACATCAAGTGTTCTGCCTTTTCCATTCTTGTCGACACAAACAGCAAACTCAGTTGTCAGCAGGGGAATGACAAATTGTACTAGTCTTCACAACGGGGAATCAGGAAAACAAAACTTGATCAAGGAAATTTACCAGAGGACACAAGAGGTGCCACGGCCACTACTTGCACACTCTCATGCACTCAAACACATTCACCCATCTTTGCATAAAGATACATTCAGGCACACGCGTAACTCCAGTGACCGCCCCAATTAGGAATGGATATGTCTTAAAACATATTCCCCTTGCCCTTTGAAAAAGAGAAGAGTATGGTGTACAAACTCTCAAAAAGCGCTGAGTGTCCTTTAAGTTTTTTTACTCTGAACCCAGAAACATCTCACTGGGTGCTGTTCATGTACGTTCGAGGTGGCCAAGGTTAGTCACCTCCCACTGAATGGCCCTCTAAAAACAGGTGCAAAGTCATGTTATAGTTGCAGCCCATAATTCCTTCATATGTTCCTTCAGGTTCCTTAAGTATCCTCCAGAAATCATCACTGAACCAGGTGAGGGTTCAGCCTGGCATTAACAGACAGTAGACAAGTCTTCTTGTCTCCACAGCTGCGGCGTTAGCTGCTGTCCTCTTGACCGAGGAGACAGATGGCAACAGAGTTCAAAGATCATCCTCTGCTAGCTGAGCCAGATTGCTCGGGCGTCGTCCAGCTAAGGGGCCCGACAGTGAAGCCTGGTTTCCAGCATCGGCAGCCTGACCCCTTCGGCAGCCCTCTCCTGCTCTCTGCTGGGGATGGAGGGAACATTCATCACACAGATATAAAGTACTTCCATGTACTGCACTCACATATCTACTAATAAATAATATATATATATTCTTTTTAAATTTAACACCAAACAGTAACAGTATTAATAAAACCTTGGAATTATTTTAAAGCCACAGTCTAAAAAGAACTGGCCAAGGTTCCATCTATTCATCCCATCACAAGTATGGGGAACGATTATCTGGCTTTGATCTGGCATCTCCCTCTGACTTCCTCGTCAGCCTGAGGGGAGCAAGGGCAGAAAGGCCTGAAATGGTAAATGGCATATTTTGTGCAATACACTGAGCTGTGAGAATTTCCCTTCTTTGTATGCAACTAACTGAAACAAGTACATTGTTATCCATTTCCTTCAGAAAAGAAAATATTTTATTGATTCCTTTTTCATCCAATAGGGGGAGAAATAACTCTTTTAATGACTCGACAAATCCCTTCACTGTATGTGTCTAAATAAATGGTTACCATTTACTGAAGTCTTTCATCTTTTAATTACCCTTAATGAGCACATTGTAATAATTGTTAGACATTGTACAATGGCCCATTATTTCCCGGGGGTGATCTTCCTGTGGCTTGTTTTGTCATTCATTTTCCCAACGCTGTGATGAATAATTACTTGTCACCACGTCCAGCTATGTGCAAAATAATGACATTTTAAATGTAACATTGAGGCTGCTACATAGACGGCTTAGTCTCTAAATGCATGCATATACTCTACCTGTGCGCTTTGCGTGGTAGGTGTGTACAGCCCGTTTGACACAGCTTGACAGTTTTGTTGATCAGTGAAGCCCAGTTGGACATGTGACGGAGAAACAGTGTGGGAGTCAGCAGGGCATGGCTGGACCACAGTGGGCTGCAGATGCAAACAACAGGTAGGTCACTCACCAACACCGTAGTGCATGCACACAATACCATTTGCGGTTTTTGTTATCCCATTTGTGCAACAGACCAGTACCGTGGCCAAAAAAGATAAGCAGGCCTGCCAATGTCTTATAAATAGAAATACTGTGTTTGAGTGGATTGTTATTGCAGAACAATGTCCCATTATAGGGCAGAGAAAGAGACAGTTAAAGAAACCTACGTCCCGCAGTGAGTATGCCTCGCTGGCTCCTCTGCCCTGGCCTTGGCTGGGCAGGTAGAGCGAGGGCAGGGAGGTGTTGTGAGAGTGAAGGGAGGGCAGCTTATGACGGTCAATAGAGGCAGAAGAGTGTGGCCGCAGGGCACTGGCAGCAGACAAAGGGGGCCTCATGCTGCGGCCCAGGCTATTAGACTTGCTCTCTCGTCGCTGGTACTCAATAGGTGACTGTAAGGCTGAAAGACAAAGGAACAAAGACAGTTCTAATAAAACTCTGTACCTGGTTCTTGAATGAACTTCTCCTATGAAGACACATTTTGCATATTACAACTGTGTTATACTATAATGTTGTTCATTATCTATTTATACATCAGCCTCCACTTCTGGATACCGTTAGTTTTGTCCGTGTTGAACAAATAATTCAGTAAAGGATGCCTGTCAGAAAGGCCAAGACTGCATGGTCAAACAAACAAATCATCTCATCAAAAAAATGTTTTGTAGATCAGGGGTGATGTGGCATAGTTCAGCCGGGACTGACCATTGAGGAAGTTGCGCTGGCCGTCCAAGATCTGAACCACATCATTGACCCAGGCCCTGCAGATCTCAGAGGAGGAGGCCAGCAACTGGAAGCGTACCACACTTCCATCAGGGTTGCGTGCTGTCACCACAAAGCGGGCGTCATCACCGTCCAAACTGGGCTCCACCCCTAGGCAGCTCAGCTGGAACATATCGCATCTGATTAGCATTTGTAGGAGTCCATCCGGCCGGGTTGCTTGTTAAATGCGAGCCTCTAACAAGTCCCTGCTCTGGGATTATGTAACGTGTGGTGTGAATCTGTTGTGTAACTCATAGCCTGGGAGTAAAATGTACTTTCTAATTTTGTGGTATTTCATTTTGCTAAAACATCCTGTGTAGCTGATCTGAATTCTCTGAGGCTCAGCCCACCTTGATGCTGTTCTTAAAGATGTATCCAGGGAGCGAGAAACCTTTCTTCCTGTCGATTGGCTCGCTGAAGATGACCAGCTGCTCGAACAGGAAGATCCGTCGTTCCTTGGCTCGGGACAAGAAACCACTGTCCTGCTCGGTCACAGTAAAGGTGTCTTGCTGGAGCAGCTTTCCCTGGGCTGTGATCTTCCCCTGGTACCACAGCAAAGATAAACACAATAAACCGAGGAAGTGGTTACGGTTTGATTTTCTTGGGTTGAATAGTTGGCATGAGAAATAGGTTGAAGATTTTGAAGGTCTAAATTCCTGAGACGTACCTCGAAGCCTTGTAGTCTGCCCACATTCATCATGTCATTGCAACGTTTTGGCACAAAGCACATCACTTCTACTGCTTTCTGTTTAAAAGACCAATGTGAGTTTGTTACAAAGAATACCAATAAAAAAGTAGTGCTTTGCACACACAAATCATCACTTTAAACCTTATATTTATGAATCAGGACACCCACCTCCAGCTCCTCTGTGTCCATCCCAGCTTTGGTGTAATACTTCAGGAAGTCCTGCTCAAATAAACACAGCATGTTCACCAGAGTATTCTGAGAGTTTACTGCTCAGAGTAAGGCGAGGACATCTGGAGGAGTGTTTATGGGTGTTGAACCCATCTTTCATTTGAATGCCAAAGGGCAAAGTTTTATACCACGGATGTCATTTTATGATCATCTTCAAAGGCTTTCACATATTATTGTTTAAATCCTATGGTAATAATCGTATCATGTAATTTGTCTCTTCCTCTTTGACTGGAAAGTAGCCTGAACAGATGCCCCCGTTTTTTGTACAAAGCAGTGTGTGTGTGTGTGTGTGTGTGTGTGTGTGTGTGTGATCAACAGCAAAGCAGTGCCCTGCTTTTCACCTTGAGCAGCAGCTGGTACTTCATGATCCTCTGGACAGGTTTGATCAGCAGGTCGTTGAGCTGCAGCCTGTGGCCCAGCTGCTGCCGCAACTCCTGTCAGCGGAGACGGACACAACAACACGAAACCAGTCAACATGACAGCCACAGCACAAAACACAGCAGCTAATGACCAATATCATCCCTCTAAAACAGTTTATCACAGGGATCATAACATTTGTCTATTAGTGTTGTATTTATTGTCAATGAAAAGGAACTGATTCAAATTTGAATAATAAATAGCATCTGAAAAGACACCCACATGGCCATGTATAATATACTGTACAGGGACACTTAGACATCCATGCATGCTGAAGGGCTTACTAACTACAGGCCTGAGTGGCAGGTGACTGTTCTATCATTAGTATGCAAGTGTTTGTCCTGTATCAATAAGTAGTTCAACATAAACATAGAAAAAAATACTTTCATAATTAAATAATTATTTAAGTCAATCAGGTAAAAGCCCAAATATTTGCTGGCTGCAGCATGCCTGATAATTTGCTTGTTTTCATCTTTGAACATGTAATATTTTTAGCTTTTGGCAATTTGAAGATGTAACTTTTGACTCCAGGAACTTGTGATGGACATTTTTCCCTATTCTCTGACATTCATAGACTGAAAATAAACTAAATATTGATCGCTCAATCAAAAAAAAGAGGTACTCACCTCAAAGTAAGTCTCAATATACTCCGATACGATATGTTCCGACTTGGGCTTGTTCTGACAGTACACAACGTACATATGCAGACGCCTCTCCTACAATCCAAACAAACATCTCATTGAAAAACCATTCCGTTGAACTTTTGGTACAAATTAGTCACACAATGAAAAATTCACAGATAAATGAAAAACATCAACAATCAACGTCTGTGTCCCCGAGCAGAGCAATGATGATTTGTCTCAGACTGCGGGTCCTTTGAAGCTGACCCTGTCTGGTTAGCGCTTACTCTTCTGTGACTAATTGGCATGGGAGCGCAGATGTGGCTGAGAGTCTTAATGGAGTTTCATGTAGATGAGCTTCAGGTTATATATAATTCACCCAGGTTACACTCAGGGAAACCTGAGCCTTGCAGAGACTGCCGATATAAGGCTGTACCTAGCAACAAGCTGCATGGCTCTGTAACCTAGAGACCAGTGAGCTGCTTCACCTGAATATGGACATCGTGTAACACAGCAGAATAGGGCTGCATGTGAAATATGAGCTCATCCGACGACCAGCTTTCAGTATACTAGTGTGGCTGCATGTTTACAGGTGTTTATATGTTGCATGTGCGTGAGTGAGCACACACCCATGTTGCATATTGGTGACACAGCCCTTGTTAAAAGCAGATTGGGCTGTCTGCTTTTCATTAGGGCCATGTTCCCAGTCTGCTTGTTTTCACTATGCGTAGATTTAGTTACAAGTTTCTTTATTCCCCCACAGGCTTTTTAAGTTAATCATCCAATGGGCTGAGCCTTATCGGATTGTTTGAAGAGCTTCAGACAGAGAGAGTGAATATAGCAAAAGAGAGACACTTAGAGAGACATTTAACTTCATCATCTTCCGACAAGAAGCAAAAGACAAGTTGGTCAAATTACCCATCATGTCTGCTTATTCTGCGTGTGTCACCACTTAATATACATAAATCTAATTTTGCTCCCTGTATAAGCCGTGTGACCCCTATCCCGGCTCAGGCTCTATTCTATTCTAAGAACAATATACTTAACAGTGAATCTTTCTGTGCATGCAGCGCTTCACTACATTCTTGAGCCAGGGTATGTAGGAAGACGTCGGTCGCAGTTTTGGGTGGAAAAAAGCCTTCATATCAAAGAGCGAAAGCTGAGGTTTTGTTATTCCTCGTCTCATTCATGTTGTTTTTTTCGAGCTGTTTTTTCCCTGCTGTTTCCTGACCAGTTCAGCCCAGACTGAAAATCGGCCAGTGTGTCGTTTGTGTGTATGTGAGGGGTTGCCGTGTGCGCTGTTGTAAAAACACAGCCTGGACTGAGACGTATCAGTTACAGGGAAGTGGAAGAAGAGACGCTGGCAGTTAGTTGAGAGAGAGAGGGAGAGCATAAGATAAACAGGAGCTCTGCATGTTTTCTTAGCTCTATTTACCCTCACGCCAAACAGCACAAGGAAGCAGACCCAGACACTTCCACTGACGTGTGTGTGTGTGTGTGTGTGTGTCTACATACTCACATGTTTAATGAAGAGCTGAGCCAGCCTCTCTGGCTCTGCTATACACTTCTCCAGTTCTCCCAGGAAGTAGCTACAGAGAGAAAACATACACACACACAAGCGCAATCATCCCCAAAACGGAAGATCAGATTTGTCTCCTGACCCATTGTTCCTTTGTCCTCCACTCAGGCCACAATCACAATACTCTGCAAATCAGTTTGTCTTTCACTTTGAATGCAGCCGCAAACACATTTTTTTCAAATCAAATGTAGTTTATCTTAAAAGATCAGGGACTTACTCTTTATGCCATTCAAATATTTGGTGAATGTTCCCAAAAACAATCTTGTCTTTTCCCTTCATGTCCTCCGGTATACCTTTGGAGTGCATTGTGGCCATGTAGCCCTGCAATGGAAATAACAGAACTGCTGATGTCTGTTCACAACAACAATAACCAACACCTGGCTCTGAGTAACACCAGTAAATACACCTAGATTGTTATCACACAGCAGCTGATACTGAGTTTTTATTAACTTTCAGATGGCAAGAATTCTTCTCTGAACCAAAATAACTCCATCTATTAAAGACACCTGTAAGATGGTTTGCCTTGCAACATAATACCCTTCAAGCTAATAATTCACAAAATCTGCTTAAAACTGGAGACAGCGGGATGGAGGAAAGTGGAGGAATTGTGATGAGGATTTAGGGCCGTCTCTGACAGACTGGGTGAATGACAAACTCTGAGCTCCAGATCACATGCTTTTTTTTACGTTTTTACTTTTAGTACATACTGCAGCTGCCCTTACAGAGTATGTACTGTTACATGCGGTATGCATTCAATTGGGACTTCTTTGTCATAACATTGCAAATTGAACTTTGACCCTCTTGCTCATATATCTGCTGTGCAGAGGATTGTGGGTCAAAATGGCCAGAAACGCACTGTGACCGGATGCAGTAGGACATTTATAGGATATTTATATTTTGGCATACTGTATTTCACATACTATGTATTGGGACATAATAGTATGGTAGTATAGGTATTGGGATGCACAGTAAATTCCCTCTTCTCTGTCAGGGCAGATTGTGTGTTCTTAGCTGGCAGACTTTGAGGTTTACCTCCACTATGAGCCCCAAGTCCACCACGTAGTACTTCTCTGTCTCAATGAGCTCCTTCAGTACATACCTGTAAAGATACAAAAAAGGCAGATTAGTGTTAGTTATGCTACCAAATGTATTTTGCACGCTGCTAAAATCTTGGAAACACTTTCTTTTAATGCGTCCCAGTCTCCTAATAATTTTCCCAATAAGGACAGGACATTGTAATTTTGTAGAAAGTTTCCTGGAAAAGTCAAAGAGAAAATGGAGACAGTTTTCAACTGGTTGATTTTCCATTAAATATATTCAGTTAATTAGTGTAACCTATATACTTACCTGTAGTACCCATGTACCTATATACCCATGTACCTATATACTTTTAAGTGCAACAGATCAACTGAACACGCAAATATGCTTAATTTTATTGGGAAAGTTTGCACTCACCTAGTTAAAAAAATATATAAAGATGACTAGCATAGGACTGCCATGACGGTTATCATGGGAGATAAATGATGCGTTTGGTTCTTTACATTGACAAAAAACATACATGCTTTTCTCTAAGGCACTCCTCCTCTCCTCTTCAGTGTCAGCCGCAGCTGACCATTGGCTGGAGGTGTCGTCCATCAAGACGGAGCCGCTGTCATCTTGCAAAACACTGGTGGACTGAGTGTCCTGAGGAGACAGAGACAGACGGATAGAGAAACTGTTTATCAAAGATCCATTGGCAGTAATGGGGATCAAAAAAAGAAAGCAAAGGGAGTGAAGAGCGAGAGAGAGATGATAATGATGCAGGTTCCCAAGGCGACCAGAAAGAGCAGAGAGACACGAGGAGCAGAGATTGAAGGATAAGAAGATCAGATTCAGATTGTCACCGTTAATGGTCCGTGCTGTGCACAGCAGCCACAGATTGATGGAGAGAAAGAGATTAAAAGATAGACAGTTGGAGGAGCAACAGGCTCGATGACAAACAAAGCTGTGAAGGTTCTTGATGGACTACAATTACTGATCGCCCACTGGCAGTTACATTTCTGATTTACGAGTGAATTAATAAGTTATATATTTCCTATTTTGCCACCTGAGGATTTAAACCAATATGTAAATACATCACACTGTCTTTTTTTTCTATTTCTGCATCTACTAAAACCGATAGAAATGCATGCAGGATAAACCCAAGGTTACTGTGATCTAATAGATTGTTCATGCGTTATATACTGGACATGGCCTCCTATTCATGCTTTTTCCTGGAATTGATATAATTTCCTGTGGGGGTCCTGGTGCAAATATAGAGTCATTGTGCACGTGGAAACAAAGCCTGCGAAGATTAAAATCATCACTAAGTCAATAGATACACAAGACCAACATGTTTGTGTGGCCTATTTCTCACACTTATGCCACATATGGTTGTACAATGACTCACAGGCATCCCTCTGTTCAATTGTATGCGTACAAAAGCTTTTCCCTCTATTTTTAGCCATGCTGCTCAGCGGTTTCTTTTTATGCTAGTCACTCTCTGCTGACTGTGTAAACTTATAGGAGCAGCCGTCTGTCCTCACCTAGATCCCCATGTCCAAATATCCGAGTCAAGCAAAACCTCCCCACCTTAAACACATACACAGACATACAGCTAATCCCCTGGCAGGCGGCTGCCCCATGGAGAAATAAATAGGCTACATTGATCGGATAGATAGACGTATAAGGAAATGGATAAAGCTATGGAACTTTCTCTGTTTCCCCTCTGGTCTAGTTCAATTTGTTCACCTGCCATGTCCATGATGAACTAGTTGGCGTCTACAAGTTGTGAGCTTTCTGTTCTGTCACAGTGATGTGTGAGAGAGAGAAAAAGATTGAAAGAGACAAAGCGTAGCTAAGTAGAGAGGCATGGGTGTAGGGAGAGACAGAGAGGCTCCATAAAGACCCTCGCTGCCCAGCGAGGAGCGTTCCAGCCTGGCTGACAGGTCTCCCTGGCTCCCTAATCACATCCAGATGTGCTGCGGCAAAGCCCAAAGGAAAAATTCACCCCGTCTCTCTCTGTTACAAGTTTTGTTTTTCTACTCAGAAGCTCAGGACGAAGACTGACAACAGTTTTAATATAAACTGAGGTCATGCTTTTGTGTTGGATCTTCAAAAAAAAAAAACCTATCCTAACAATTCCATCAATCAAGAACAGGGTTGTAACAAATACTTTTTGTGTGGATATAGGTCATAACATCTTAAGCTTCAAGTTACAAGTAAGAAAAAGTTCAGTTAAATGTCAGATATTGTATCGTGTTGTATAATAGCAGGATGCTTTTGCTGTTTTTCTTGTTGTCCAAGAGCAAAATGTTTGGTCACAAAAATATTTCTTTGTTTTATAATTGTTTATCTATCTGTATCTATTTAAATATTTTACATCTATAACTAAGGTCATTGCCACTTTATGGACTTAGAAACCGCTTACTGTTGGAACACGTAAAATGCTGCAAATCCGCAGTATTAAAGTGATATTAAATGGATTGACTTTAAGAAATGCTACTCTTCATGGCTTTACATGTGATGTTTTTCATCATACCCAGAAATAATGGCTGATGCTTGAAGCTGGTATGTTTTTTTACTTTTCCAGCAGTGGCATCAGCAATTTCTCTCTTTTTGGGATGGAGCAGACACCGCAAATACTTAGACATGCAAGTACAAATCAAAGGTATGGTCCTGAGCCCAGGAGGAACACAGTTACATAGTCGTAAGTGCTGAAAAGTGCAATTTGTTTGCATTGGTGCTAATCACAAGGGATTGGGTTTTTAAGACACCTCACAATAACACTATTCGCATTCGTAGGTTGAGATGGAAGACTGGTACAAACTGTTCCTCAGGACAAGCTATTTATTAAATATTGTGATCTGCAGTTCTGGCTTCCTTTTTGACACCACATTTTGTTTAACTGCTGACAATCAACAGAACGTTCCATTGACCAACAAAACATTTCACCAAAAACTATGTTCTGCTGTGGTTGTGAGATAGAGACGTTGGTGTGTAGAAAAGAGGAAAAACAGCAGCAATGCATATAACACTGGACATGAGGCCATTGAAGGTGAAATACAGAGACAGAAACCACAGCTCAGAGATAACTACATTAATCTCTCTACTTCTCCATCTCTCTCTCTCTCTCTACACCTCCATCTCTCTCTCTAAACACCAAGCACTAACCTCATCCCCCTGATATAATCACATCAATGTCTTTTGATGTGTTGTTGAGACAAAAATTAGGATTTAAATGCCATGGTGTTGATTCACCACCAAGAGTCATTCCACAATGCTCAAATATTCAGATGTCATTATTGTTTTACTTTGTATTGATAGGGCTCAGGCTCTAGTGATTCCTGCAATATTACTGCTGCTCTAGCGAATCCCAGTTTCTGCCATGCTTCCAACACAAAAGGGACCCTCTGAACACTTGACTTAAGACGCTCCTTTGCCGCGAGCAACTGACTCCAACTGAGTGTTGATGGAGAACTGCAAGCGTATGTGCACACACACAGCGTTCTTTGTCAGCTCATAGAAGTGGAGTCATCTTTCATCACATCTGCCGTTTTGTGCTCTCTTATTTATCTCCAGGCATGTCCTTTTGTAACATGTTGAATGTGAGTCATGCATCACACAGGTCGCGGTCAAGCTCTGCCCTCTGGTGCATCGATCTACTCTGAGAGGGCCTTGTATTCACTTAGACTCCCTTACATGTGTGGGGTGTCCATATGCATGGGTCTATATAGTATCTATATATTTGCATATGTGGTTGTGTGTGTGTGTGTGTGTGTGTGTGTGTATGTGGTTGCAGAAAGCAGCACTCCTGTGTCCATCTTTGAGTTTGTTTAGCCTGATAGTTGAACTCCGCCCTGCAGCAGCAGAGTTAGTCATTTTCAGATCTGGCTGGAAGGCCATGGAGACAAACAGTACTCCCCGCCAGTCACCTCCCCGCCAGGCTGGATCCTCACTGAAAATATTACTGCCACTAACTACAGTAAATTGTCAGCTAAAATGAATTGTAAGTGGATTTACTCCTCAAAGTTTCAATCTTATCATAGCTAATCATTGATTCTATAAAGCTGGGGGTACAATCAAGTATTCTGGTAACCTGTCGAAAAATGACTACTTGTATTAAAGCCAGTAACATCAGCTCTACTAGATGTTATGTGACAAAAACAATATGTGGTGACGGATACAACGGGTTAGGTGACAGGTGACAGACCTGGGTGTTTGGCAGTGACGTGCAGCCAATCAGCGAGTCAGTTAAGTAGCTGGGGGACTGCAGCGTAGCCGGTGACAGGTCCTCAGGGCTTGCCAGGCCATCTTTCCACTCCTGGAACAAACACACACACACACACACACACACATCCACAGTGTCAGAATAACACAATATCAACATGATGCAAAATGTCTGTAGCATGCTCATGCATTCGGGCACACAGGCAGTTGCACAACTGCAAAATAGAGCACATGAATCATAGAACATGGCGCCATGAGTTCCTGAGGGATAAGCCAGCAGTGCTGCTGTTTATGTAACAGCATCGCCACCTGCCATGATACTTAGTCCTTCATGGCTCAGCTCTACATTAAACCTGTGTCTCCACTAATAGTCTTGAGCTACCTAGTGTAAACAAGACACTGTCAAGATGTTGGCTTTAGCTTGTATTTGTACAAGACCGAAGCTTTGCATGTTTACTTCAGAGCCAGTTTATACCAAGGCTTTGAGATAAGACGGTGTGGGAATAAATGAGTTTACTCATGAGGTGGTTCATCTCAAACATGTAAAAGGGAACTTGAAGCACAAAGCTGGCATGCAAGACCTTGTTTCATGTGACCAAGAACAAAAAAAAAAAGATGCATCCTTGTTACAACTTTTCACTTCTCACCAGTTCTCTGTGGGTGACAGGCAGGATGATGAAAGTCTCATCAGGCCTCGGGGGGCTGCCCAGATCCTGGCTGTGGCTGTGGGACGGAAGAGGCGGAGGCTTTCCCTCAAGTTTGCGGACCTGGCGCTCCCCTTTGGCGCTGGCCCCGACGCTGAGTTTGCGGACAGGGTTTGTGAGCCACTTCTTCAGCGTGCTCACAGAGCGTCTGGAGCCCGGGGAGCTCGGGGCCGAGCTGCCTGATGCCTGTGGGGGTAGTGATGCCACGGAGGTGGAGATGCTGCCCTCACTGCCTGCTGCTGAGTATGAGTCTGGAGAAAAGAGACAGGGAGAGAAATAGAGCAGAAGGTTATTGGTGAAACAATGAGTGTCTGAGGAGACAGTGGAGGTTAGAGAACTGATATGTAAGAGTTTAATGGGTCAAAGGGCAGAGTACAGTCTGACTCTCTTCATTCAGACCTCCACAGTCAATAAATCAATTAATATATGTGCAAAAACAGCATTTTGTTTAAGGCAATAGAACCCGTGACTGACAATTAAATGAAAGCAGATGCGCTGCTCAGTGGGAGTCGACAACACAGGAGAGAAGAAGTTAAGGGAGATATAAAACAAAGGGTGGATATATAAATAGCCTTCCTCTTCAAACACAGCTGTGCAGCTGTGAGCTGCAACATAAAAGATGCACTATTATGTTTATGTCACGCGGACCATGTTTTGTATGCTTGAGCTGTGCATCCAATCACATGACCAGCACACTCTGATGCAAGGCAGACAGATGAGGTCAGAGTGGTGAATGTGAAAAATACTCCAAACCAGTTACAGAACGGCTGCTGCACAGGGATGTCAGGAGGACATGGGAAGTGAGCTGGGGGGCGAGCTGGGACCGGACATCCACTTTAAGCCTTTGTAGAAGGGGAGATCCTTGCTTGGGACAGTTTGTTTTTTCTGTCTTGTCCCCCATTCCCATCCTGCCTCATCCACCCTACCCTACCGCCCTTCCTCAGTCCTGAGATAGCTCTTCCTCTCAACTGTGTGTCTTGAGTGTTTTATCTGTTGTGTGCAAACGCAGTTCGGTCATGCCTCCCCATTCATCGTCTTGGCCTCGACCTGACCTCTGACCCTCGATCAACACTCTTTTACAGATGGAGAAACAGTCTCTCTTGCTAAGACTATCTGCCAAGGCTTAATATTGTTCGAATACAGCTGCTATTTCACGCCAATTGTCAACTGAATGTGACAAAGCTGGAAACTAAATGACTTTTAATTTTTAAAAAAAAAGCACTTTTCCTAAAGCTTGAATTGAGTTTGTGAATTTTTCATGCATTTGTTCATTAAAAGACAACACTGACCTCATTTCAGTGTTCCTTATATGAGCCACAGAGGACAATCTTATCACAAATCTCAGCAGTAAGACTCAGACCCAGACTGCAGGAGCAACATTGACACAGCATGGCCCATTTTGTGAGTGTATCGTCTTCAAAGGCGAAACCAAAATAAATTTACAATTGCCCTCAGTTTACATACTTAAAGAGATTGAGCTTGTCCACGATTTATTCATTATTGCTTTCCCTAAGAAATGCGATAGTAGCCACTGTACCGATCAATGAAAATGAGCTGTCTAAAAACTGTCCCCAATTCTCCAGTGCACAAACCTCAGTCAAAATGTTTGAGAGATGGCTAACTTCAGAGCAAAACAACTCCAACCCATGACATTACAATGCCAGTCCACACATATCTAGGTAAAACACATTGTTTATGGATCTGGCGAAAAAACTCTAATTTATCTGTATGTGTATTTTCACCACATAAACAGCATTTAATAATAATAATAATAATAATAATAATAATAATAATACATTTTATTTAAAAAGCGCTTTTCATAAAACTCAAAGACACTTTACATTAAAATCATCATATATAAAAGCAATACACTAAAAACATAAAATACACAATAGTGGTCACACAATAAAAGCAGTTTTGAACAGGTGGGTTTGGATCTGTGATTTGAATATGGAAAGGTCAGTGCAGTCTCGGATGTGTTTGGGGAGAGAGTTCCAGAGGGAGGGGGCAGATATGGAGAAGGCTCTGTCACCCCATGTCCAGTGCTTGGTCCTGAGTGGAAGAGACAGGAGGTTGGCATCAGAGGAGCGGAGCCGGCCCCCTCCTACCTCAGTGAGGTAGGAGGGGGCCTGATTGTGGAGGGCTTTATGCGTGATGAGAAGGATTTTGTATTGGATCCGTTGTGGGACGGGGAGCCAGTGGAGGTTCTGGAGAACAGGGGTGATGTGGTCGCGGGAGCGGGTGTGGGTGAGCAGGCGAGCAGCAGAGTTCTGGATGTACTGGAGTTTATTTAGGATTTTGGATGATGTGCCGTGGAGAATGCTGTTGCAGTAGTCAATTCTTGAGGTGATGAAGGCGTGGATCAGAGTTTCAGCAGCAGATGAGGAGAGTGATGGGCGGAGACGGGCTATGTTTTTTAAGTGGAAAAAGGCAGTTCTGGTGATTTGTTTGACGTGGTGTTCAAAGGAGAGGTTGCTGTCAAACATGACTCCGAGGTTGCGGATGTGTGGGGAGGGAGACAGAGTGGAGTTGTCGATGGTGAGGCAGAAGTTGTGACTGGTTTTGGTGAGGGATTTGGGACCGATGATGATCATGTCAGATTTATCACAGTTCAGTTTGAGGAAGTTGGTTTGCATCCATGATTTAATGTCAGTGAGGCAGCTGGTGAGAGTGGAGTGAGTAGCAGTGGTAATGGCCTTTGTGGAGATGTAGAGCTGTACATCATCGGCGTAGCAGTGAAAGTGAAGACCATGTTGACGGATGATGTTACCAAGAGGGAGCAAGTACAGGATGAACAGAAGAGGACCAAGCACCGAACCCTGGGGGACGCCTTGAGACAGAGGAGCAGTGGAGGAGGTGCAGTTGTTGATACTGATGAACTGTTGTCTGTTTGTGAGATATGATTTAATCCAGGAGAGAGCAGTTCCGGTGATGTTGAGAGAGGATTCGAGGCGGGAGAGAAGGATGTTGTGGTTGATGGTGTCAAAAGCTGCAGTGAGGTCGAGGAGGATGAGAATGTTGAGGTGACCAGCGTCGGAGGAGAGGAGGAGGTCGTTGGTGACTTTGAGGAGGGCTGTTTCAGTGCTGTGCTGTGAACGGAAACCGGATTGAAATGGCTCGAACAGATCGTTGGAGATTTCCTCTGTAATCTTCCTCCTCTCTACATACATGTTACAGGCATCATGCATCATGCGTATGTGTGTGTGTGTGTGTGTGTGTGTGTGTGTGTGTGTGTGTGTGTGAGTGTGTGTGTGTATGATCCCAGGGTGGCCAATTTCCCTATCCTTCCACACCCCCATCCACATGAAAGGCTTAAGACAGTAAAAGGAGATCTGAGCCTGGCAGAATGGAGGATTGAACAGAGGGAAGAGGCAAGGAGCAGAGAGGGGTACAAAGAAGGGAGACGACTAAACCCTGCGGGGAATAGACAGAAACTCTAAACAAACTCTGGACGGGTCCATCGACAGTAAGACAACATAATAAAGAACAGCAGTCTGAGTTCAAGCCTCTGCCTGTTGTGAAGTGTCTTAGCTGTAGAAGACAATAAAATAACAAAAACATCAAAAAGCTATTGTATTTGTGGCTGGAGCTGTAAAAGCCTGAGGCAAAGCATACGCCATCTCTGAGGGTCCCCAGCTTGAGAGAACAGAGAGGATGTGAAAATGACTCTGATGTGATAACCCCAACCCCCAGGTCCTCTGACCTCTAACAAAGACCAGGCCTCGAGGATTGTGTTTTCCAGTGTCGTTCCCTGCTCAGCTTCAGTCAGGCAGGCTTTAGGAGTCACAGTGCAGAGACACAACCGCAGTAACACAGCATCCAACCAGCTCCAGACATCGGCTGAGATAGCTCATCACAACAACAAAAAAATGGGGGAAGAGAGACTGACACCCTCTCTGTGCCTGGAAGCAATTAAAAGTGAGTGGAGACAGCGGTGCAGCTCCATGATTTGACGTCAGAATGACACAGTGGCTCTGTCAAATGTACAGATTTACAACGTGCAGAGTGTACATAATTTATCGGTTTTATAATGAAGATCACTACATCTGCATCTGTCACCATGGCAACTCTGCAGTTCCCCTACTAATCGTCGTGCGTGTGGGTTAGGTTCCCTGTTGACCCTGGAAAGCTGAATCTCAGTATGAAACCTTAGGCCACTACAGGGACATCATTAACAGCTTTTTTTTTTATTTTCACAGTAGCAGCAAGGAAACTGTGAAACGCAAAGGGAGATGATGAGCTTCCCCTCAGAGCCGCATGCCTCCGCTCTCCCTACACATTTCAAGATGAGAGGAGTCCTCTGTGTGCCACCAACACAGAGGAAATTGGGATAAAAAAAGATTGAAAAAAAAAATCCTTCCCTTTGTCTTGCTGGATGCTGATAGTGCCCACTGACATTCATCTTCATAACGGCGTAGCGAAAACAAGATTACCCAGTCTGATTTTGTTAATGCAACTTGACTATTGTTTATGTGCTAGTGATAATTAACAGGTGAAGGCACAGGGCAGCAGGGTTGCATTAAGCTGGCCTGATCTGTGGTGATCAGTTAAAGCTGGGCTTTCACCAGCCGCTCACTCGCTGTCTGACAGGCTGAGTGGAGCCCGGGTGGAAGGCTTGCCCAAAAAGTTGCTGTACCATGTAACTTTAGAGCCGAGTGGGTTTCTGCTGCAAAGCAGCTCCAGACATTCTCTTGATGCTGTTCACTCACAATAGTGAAGTTTGACAGAACTCATCGACTGAGAGGACAACTTTAAAGACTCTAATGTAGGTAGTCTACGCTTCATTTATCCATTACCACTTTTTCTTGCACTAAATCAAGCTTTTGACTTCATGTCTGGTCTAATCATTTTAGGGCTTCCACTAACGATTATTTTCAGTATCAATAAATCTGCTGATTGTCGTCTTGATTAAGCGATACGTTGTTTGGTATAAAACGTCAGATAACTGCCTCGAAATCACCAGGGGGCGAGGTGATTTCATCAAAATGTCTTGTTCTGTCCAACCACTCCAAAATATTCAATTTACTGACATGAGAAAGCATAAATGGTCAAATTTAAAAAGCACGAACCAATAAATATTTCGCATATTTGCCTTTCAGACAGTGAATGGGCGGCTGGTGAAAGCCCAGCATTGAATAAAACAATTAATTGATTGTCAAAAAATAGTTCATCTGACTTTTTCATGAGGTTTGCAGTGAACCATGGCTGCTCAGTAAAGTTTTGAATACAATTGTAGCTGGATTGATTTATC